CATTACTCTGCCATCAGGAAAATTGACCTTGTCTTTTCATCAAATCTTTTAACTTGCGCTCACGTCATCATCCATTAGTTTGAGAGGAATATTACCAAATATATCCCATAAAAAAATATATTTTTAAAGCTGCAGTTCTTCTCTGCTCTCTTTGATTATATCCACCCAACTCAAGAACCCTCGATAGTTTGTTTGGCACGAAAGATTTATGTCGGGGGTCCGGGATACGAACCAGGCACCGCTGCTGTGAGGTCATTGTCCCGTGTTGTTTTCAACGAGCGAGTCGTAAATTTGGCAGAGAAAGAACCCAATACTTGTAACTGAGAAGCAGTTGTTGCACTATTGTAAACATGACAGGTTTTATAGCTGCGGCCAAAACAATCAATCTGGTTCAGCACTCGTTTATTGGGACGGTGCAGCAGATCTGTTGTTGACAGTGACGTTAACGGTGGAAGGTGTGAATTCAGTTTGTACGGACGTTGTGGAACTGTAATTATTTGTGAGGCAGAATGACACTAAATTGCATTTCCAATAATTCCACAGTTTCCAACTCATCATTGCTTTAATACAGTTAGTTATTTATCCTTTCACTGAAGCACTTCAGGCTTAAAATACCATTTAGGTATTTGTTTTAGTTTAAATGTTACATGTTTTGTTCCTAAGTTTTTGCCAAATTCTTAGTGTTACAGCAATACATGGGAGCAAAAAAAAGTTTGATTGTTCTCAATTAATCATGATTAAGCGTAATTATCATCAGATGAAGTGTTTTAACATCCCTCCCTTCAACTTCCAGGTGTCGCTGAGAAAGCAGGAAATTGCCGACCGTCTGAGCGCCTGGACTATCTTCAACGACAAGAACAAGGAGTTCTGTGATTGGCTGATGCAGATGGAGAACAAGGTGAACCACAACGTTGACCTGAGCATTGAGGAGATGGTGGAGAAGCTGAAGAAGGTAGATGGACACAGACATCGGTGATGTTTTCAGCCGAGCTTGAGTCGGTGTCATGTGTTTTAAACCTGTTTGAATCCTGCAGAACGGTCAGAGTTAAAGACCAGTGTCACAGCGTGGAACGCTCACAGTAGGGATCATGTCAGGGACAACGCTGATGTAAACACGATTAAAGCTCATAACATGAGCAACTCCAACCACATGATGTGGTCCGTGACAGATGGCGGCCTGGAATGGAACGGCTGCGTGTCTTTTGTTCGCACACAACAGTTGTCCTTTCACTGACTGAGGGTCTTTTGTAGAGCAGCATCATTTAGTGAACACGATAATCAGTTTGACCATTAACAGGAATTATGGTTTGTGCTGTCAAATCAGGATGGAGGGGCGGTGGGGAGGTTATCAAATTATCTTTGTGTTTCAGAGCTCCTTAACACATTATTAAACACATTATAATCCAGTAAAATTGGCTGAGCCTTTTTTTTAAATAAATTACATTTTATTAAACAAGATTTGTTGTGATAGCTTTTAGCTGTGGTGAGTTCCAATTGATTAAGAAAATGTCTCATTAGGGAAGTTGATAATTAGGGAATTAAACATCAACTTGTTAATTTCTAAATTGTAAAAAATATTTGTTTCAAAATTTGAAAAAAATAACACTCCTAAAAGTGATGACCCGAGGTCTACAGTTCTGGTCCTCGTCTTTATCCGGGGCTGCATTCCTCAGTGGGTTGTTGAAGTTAGCTCAGCTGTATTTACCATGCTGTCTTTACAGACACATATGAATTATTAAATACAAGTGATGATCATTGTGTAATTGTTTTTAAACACGGGGGGCGGGGGGTTGTTGAAGCACAATTATCTGTGAAATTCACTGACCTGAGGCTTCGACCTCTGGATCTTTAATATCCTGCAGCCTCGGTGTTTGGAGGAGTTATGTCTTCATGAAAGACTTTCTCTTTTTTTTTGTCCTCAGGACTGCATGGAGGAAATTAACCTGTTCAGTGAGAACAAAAGTCACCTGAAGCACCTGGGGGAGCAGCTGCTGTTGGCCAGCGACGAGGCCACGCAGACGCAGGTGCACGGCTCCTTACAGGAAATCAACCGACGGTGGCACGACCTCTTCAACCACATCGAAGCCAGGTCGGAGTTTTCATGTTTTTGTTCCGTTTGATGTGACTATAATGACTTTAGAAAAAAAATCTGCTGCAGTAAAACAAACCCTAAAAAGAACCGTCCAACCCGACTCACGACTGGATTCTAAAATAAACATCCAGTGATCATGTCAGACAAAAATTATATTTTTATTTTATTTTTGTCTGCCCCTCAAGGTCTCTCTCCAAGAAGATAGAAAAAAAAATAGTTGGGGCTTTAATCATGAGAAAATATCTTTATTATTCATTTTGATGGATGGAAGTTTATTTAGAATATTTTGTTCATTTTAATGATAAGAACTGAACCTACATCGGCCCAGAGCTGCTCTGTATTATGGTCTGTAATTAGACACACACACACACACCTGCTGCTGTGTGTTCCTGCAGCTGTCAAAAATACATGGCTGCCAGTGTACAGGCTGAGAGGAGGTTAAATAACCATGACAATTTACACCCCCCACCCCTCTCCCACTCCTGCTCTCTCTGACAC